CATGTACAAACACTTGAGCTCTTTTTTTTTTGTGACACGTTGTCTAGTGTTTTGTACCAAGCTCACCATACACCATGCACTATCCACTAAGGTATTGTGGTTTGAAAACGAATGAAATAGGGAAAAAAAGAACGATATTTGCTGAGAGGAATAAATTTGAAAAATAAGGTTATAAATATTTCAGTGGTGAGTAGAAATTTGACATCTAAAAATGCATTGTCATAACTATAGCATTGCTGCTATCTCCAAAGTGGTACAAAAGATTTCTTAGGAAACAAAAACTGAAATGAGGGCGAGGTGCGTCTCGATATATTATGTAGGACTTGTCAGAAAGCTCTCCAGGAGGATTGAAAACATTCCACCTTTTTATTCCTGCTCACGTAGGAACTGTGAGAATCTGAAAATACATTTTCACAACTTATTCTAATATTTGAAATAAACGTATCCTCCAACATTCTCATTGAAAGTTTCTGATTTAATGCGATTTTCAAAAGTATTTATATTGACTAATATAACATGTAATAGTAAATATTCTTAATCATTCTATGTAGTTTTCTTATGTTATTATTCTAAGTAACAGTCATATTATTAATCCAGGTCAAGTCTAATATTATTATTTTCCAAGTACAAAATGTAATATTATTTTATCAAGTTACAAACGTAACATAATTTTACAATTCACAGAACCTAATATTATTTTTGAATTCACAGAATATAATAATATTTTTCCAAATCAGAGTCTAATAGTAAAATCACAGTCACACACTAAAAGTCACAGAATCTAACATTGTTTTTCCAAATTACAGATTAAATATTATTTAAGTCTCAGTCTAATATTATTTAATTCACAGTCTAACATAATTTTTCCAAGTTGCAGAATTTAATAATAATTCTCCAAATCATAGATATAATATTATTTAAGTCAGAATCTAGTATTATTTAAGTCACAATCTAGTATTATTTATGTCACAATATAATATTATTTAAATCACAATCTAATATTATTAAGGTCACAATCTAATATAATTTAAGTCACAGATCTAATATTATTTTCCAAGTCACATAATCTAATTTTATTTTTCCAAGTCACATAATCTAATTTTATTTTTCCAAGTCACATAATCTAATATTATTTAAGTCACAGATCTAATATTATTTTCCAAAGTCACACAATCTAATAACATTTATCCAAGTCAAATTCTAATATTATTTTTCCAACTCACAGAATCTAATATTTCAGCACGTCAGAGTCTAATATTATTTTTCCAAGTCGCGGAATCTAACGTTATTTATCCAAATAACATTCTTATATCTTTTAACAAATAGTCTTGCAATATTATTTTAAGCAACACTCTTAAAATATCGTAAATAATACATACATATAATTCCCCACTCCTCCTTCAACTCAAAATATGTATAATACCTGAAGCTCTTTTTTTTTTCTGCCAAGCTCTCTCTTGTTTCGAACCTAGGCGAGTTAGGCTTAACTGGGAAACTAGGTTCTCACCCTACACTACTCGCTATCCACTAAAATATTGTAGTTTAAAAAAAACGAATGAAATAGGGGTAAAAAGGAAAGATATTTGCTGAGATGAATAAATTTGAGAAGGAAGGTTATAAATATTTGAGTGGTGAGTAGAAATTTGACATCTAAAAATGCATTGTCAAAACTACAACATTGCTGCTATCTTCAAAGGGCAACAAAAGATTTCTCAGGAAATAAAAACTAAAATGTTGGATGAGGGCGAGGTGCGTCTCGATATATTATGTAGGACTTGTCAGAAAGCTCTCCAGGAGGATTGAAAACATTCCACCTTTTATTCCTGCTCACGTAGGAACTGTGAGAATATAAAAAATACATTTTTACACCGTATTCTAATATTTTGAAATAAACGTATCTTCCAACATTCTCATTAAAAGTTTCTGATTTAATGCAATTTTCAAAAGGATTTATATTTACTAATATGTCATATAATAGTAAATATTCTTCATTATTCCATGTATTTGTCTTACGTTATTATTCTAAGTAACAATCATATTAGTAAGCCAAGTCACAGAATCTAACATTGTTTTTCATACTAGAGATTTAATATTATTTAAATCACAGTCTACTACAATTTTTCAAGTTGCAGAATCTAATAAAATTTCTTCAAATCACAGATCTAATATTATTTAAGTTACGATCTAATATTATTTTAGTCACAGATCTAATATTATTTTCCCAAGTCACAGTTTAATTTTATTTTTAAGTCAAAGAATCTAATAATATTTAGCGCAGTCAAAGTCTAATATTATTTTTCCAAGTCACAGAATCTAATATTATTTTTCCAAGTCTCAGAGTCTAATATTATTTTTCAATGCCGCAGATTCCTAATATTACTTTTCCACATGGCAGAGTCTAATATTATTTTTCCAAATAACAATCTCATAACCTTTTAACTAATAGTCTTGTAATATTATTTTATGTAACACTCTTGAAATATTATTTTAAGTAACACTCTTGAAATATTATTTTAAGTAACACTCTTTGAAATATTATTTTAAGTAACACTCTTAAAATATCATAAATAATACATATATAACTTCCCACTCCTCCTCGAACCCAAAATATATGTATAAACACTTGAGCTCTTTTCTTTTTGACCAGGCCTTCTCGTGTTTTGAACCAAGGCGAGCTAGGTTTAAGTAGGTAGCTAGGTTCTCACCCTACACTACTCGCTATCCAATAACGTATTGTGGTTCAAAAAAACCAATGAAATAGGAGAAAAAATATATTGGAAATGAATAAATTTGAGAAGAAAGGTTATAAGTAGTTCAGTGGTGAGAAGAAATTTAATATCTAAAAATGCATTGTCATAACTATAACATTGCTGCTATCTCCAAATGTTGGATGGGGGCGAGGTGTGTTTCGATATATTATGTAGGGCTTGTCAGAAAGCTCTCAGGAAGATTGAAAACATTCCTCTTTTTATTCGTGCTCACGTAGGGGCTGTGAGAATACGAAAATAGATTTTCGCACCTTATTCTGATATTTCAAATAAATATATTCTCTAACACTCAGATTAAAAGTTTATTATTTAATGCGAACTTCAAAAGGCTTAATTTGCTTTAGTATGTAGTACTTAATATAAGTGGGTCATGTAATAGTAAATATTTTAAGTAATAGTCGTATTATTTTTCCAATTCACAGAATCTAATATTATTTTTCCAAGTAACAGATCTAATAATATTTATCCGGTCACAGAATATAATACTATTAATCCAAGTCCCAGAGTCTAATAATCCTTTTCCAAGTCACGTTATATTATTTTCCCTATCACAATCTAATACAATTTTTTTCAAATCACAGAGTCTAATATTATTTTAAGTAACACTCTTAAAATATCATAAATAATACATGTATAATTCCCCACTCCTCTTAGAACCCAAAATATGTATAAACACTTGCGCCTTTTTTTTTTTTTTTTTTTTTTTTTTTCTGTCAGGTCTTCTTGCGTTTTGAACCTAGGCGAGCTAGGTTTAACTATGTACCTAGGTTCTCACCATAAACTACTCGCTATTCACAAAGGCATTGTGGTTCAAAAACGAATGAAATAGGGAAAAAAAAGGAAAGGCACTTGCCAAGATGAATAAATTTGAGAAGGAAGGTTATAAATATTTCAGTGGTGAGTAGAAATCTGACATCTAAAAATGCTTTGTCATAACTGCAACATTCCTGCTATCTTCAAACGGCAACAAAAGATTTCTCAGGAAACAAAACTGAAATGAGGGCGAGGTGCGTCTCGATATATTATGTAGGGCTTGTCAGAAAGCTCTCAGGAGGATTGAAAACATTCCCCTTATTATTCCTGCTCACGCAGGAGCTGTGAGAATCGCAAAATACATTTCACACCATATTCTAATATTTGAATATTTCTCTAACATTCTGATTGAAAGTTTATTGTTTAATGTACTCTTCAAAAGAATTTATATTTATTTGCTTTAGGATATAATACTTAACGATATACTTAGGATATAATAAGGATATATAATTACTAATATGTCATATGATAATAAATATTCTTTATTATTCTATGTAATTGTCGTATGTTATTATTCTAAGTAACTGTGATATTAGTAATCCAAGCCACACTCTAATATTATTATTTTCCAAGTCACAGAAACTAATATTATTTTTTCCAAGTTACAAACGTAATATAAATTTTCCAATTCACAGAACCTAATATTACTTTTCGAATTCCCAGAATCTTTCAATATGCTTCCAAATCAGAGTCCAATATTATTTTCCCAAGTCAGTAATAGGAAAATCACAGTCACACACTAAGAACAGTAACAGAATGTAACATTGTTTTTTCCAAATTACAGATTTTATATTATTTAAGTCACGGTCTAATATTATTTAAATCGCAGTCTAATATAATTTTTCCAAGTTGCAGAATCTAATAATAATTTTTCCAAATCACAGATCTAATATTATTTAAGTCACAATCTAATATTATTTTCAAAATTTAATATTATTTAAGTCACAGTCTAATATTATTTTTCCAAGTCACAATACAAAATTATTTTTCAAGTCACAATGTAATATTATTTTTCCGAGTCACAGAATCTAATATTATTTTTTTCCGAGTCACAGAATCTAACATTATTTTTCCAAGTCACAGAGTGTAATATCATTTTTCCAAATAACAGTCTTATAAGTCAATATCACAAATTGTTGTTGTTGTTTCTCATCCCACTTGGCTGGCCAAGCCCATGAGCCCATACGTACTCATGATTGAAGGGGAAGGAAGCAGCTTCTGTTGTGATGGAGCACCCCCGTAGGTAGAAGTCTGACTTTGGCTCCGTGACGCTCTTACAGTCATGGGAGACCGGTACCTACGGCTTAAAGTGGATTCCGAACCCCTAGAAACATCCATGGCACCGCCGGGAGCCGAACCCGAAACCTGTGGCACCGAGCGCTGACACTCGGCCATGCAGGTCCTAAATTTGTGAATGCCAACGGCACGCGGTGTTCCCAGGAAGTCACCCACCCAAGCACTGACCTCGGCCAATGATGCTTGACTTCGGTGATCTAACGAGAAACGGTATATTCAGCATGGTATGGCCGTTGGTAGTTATATCACAAATAATACGTATATAATTCCCCACTGCTCATCAAACCCAAAATATATATAAACACCCGAGAGCTTTTTTTTGGGGGAGGTCTTCTCATGTCTTAGGTTTCTCATGTTTAGGAGTTAGGTTTAACTAGGTAGCTAGGTTTTCACCATGCAGTATTCGCTATCCACCAAGGTATTTGTGGTTCAAAAAACGAATGAAATAGGGAAAAAAGGAAAGATATATGAAGAGATGAATAAATATGAGAAGGAAGGTTATAAATATTTGAGTGGTGAGTAGAAATTTGACATCTAAAAATGCATTGTCATAACGACAACATTACTGCTATCTTCAAAGTGCAACAAAAGATTTCTTAGGAGACAAAAGCTAAAATGTTGGATGAGGGCGAGGTGCTTCTCTATATATTATGTAGGGCTTGTCAGAAAGCTTTCCAAGAGGATTGAAAAGCATTCCCCCTTTTTATTCCTGCTCACGTAAGAGCTGTGAGAATCTCAATATACATTTCACACCTTATTCTAATATTTGAACATTCTTCCAACATTCAGATTGAAAGTTTTATTATTTAACGCGTTCTTCAAAATGGTTTATTTGATTTAGGATATAATACTTAAGGATATACTTAGGATATAATAAGGATATAGTATATTTACTAATATGTCATATAATAATAAATATTCTTTATTATTCTATGTAATTGTCTTATGTTATTATTCTAAGTAATAATAATATTAGTAATCCAAGTTACAAACGTAATATAATTTTCCAATTCACAAAATCTAATAATATTTTTCCAAATTAGAGTCTAATATTATTTTCCAAGTCACAGAATCTAACATTGTTTTCCAAATTACAGATTTAATATTATTTAAGTGAAAGTCTAATATTATTTAAATCACGGTCTAATATTATTTTAGTGACAGATCTAATATAATTTTTTCCCAGCCTAATATTATTTTCACAAGTCATAGATCTAATATTATTTTTGCAAGTCACACAATCTAATATTATTTTTTCCAATTTACAGATCTAATGTAATTTTCCTAGTCTAATATTATTTTTTCAAGTCACAGAATCTAATATTATTTTTTTTCAAGTCACAGACTCCAATATTATTTTTTCAAGTCACAAATTCTATTATTATTTTCCAAGCCACAGAAGCTAATATTATTTTTTCCACGTCACAGTCTAATAATATTTTAACAAGTCACACAATCTAATAATATTTATCCAAGTTGCTTAGTCTAATATAATTTTTCCAAATAACAGTGTCATAACTTTTTTTAACTAATAGTCTTGTAATAATATTTTAAGTAACACTCTTAAAATATCATAAATAATACATATATAATTCTCCATTCCTCCTCGAACTCAAAATATGTATAAACACTTGATCTATTTTTTTCTCGTGTTTCGATCCTAGGCGAGCTAGGTTTAACTAGGTAGCTAAGTTCTCACCTACACGATGCATTATCCACTAAGGTATTGTGGTTCAAAAAAACGAATGAAATAGGGGGTAAAAAAAAGGAAAGATATTTGCCGAGATGAATAAATTTGAGAAGGAAGGTTACAAATATTTGAGTGGTGAGTAGAAATTTGACACATAAAAATGAATTGTCATAACGACAACATTACTGCTATCTTCAAAGTGCAACAAAAGATTTCTCAGGAAACAAAAAACTGAAATGTTGTATGAGGGCGAGGTGCGTCCCGATATATTATGCAACGCTTGTCAGAAAGCTTTCCAGGAGGATTGAAAACATTCCCCCTTTTTATTCCTGCTCACGTAAGAGCTGTGAGAATCTCAATATACATTTCACACCTTATTCTAATATTTGAACATTCTTCTAACATTCAGATTGAAAGTTTATTATTTAATGCGTTCTTCAAAATGGTTTATTTGATTCAGGATATAATACTTAAGGATATAGTATATTTACTAATATGTCATATAATAATAAATATTCTTTATTATTCTATATAATTGTCATGTTATTGTTATTAATAGTAATAGTAATATTAGTAATCCAAGTTACAAACGTAATATAATTTTCCAATTCACAAAATCTAATAATATTTTTCCAAATCAGAGTCTAATATTATTTTCATGTCATAGAATCTAACGTTGTTTTTCCAAATTACAGATTTAATATTATTTAAGTGAAAGTCTAATATCATTTAAATCACAGTCTAATATTATTTAAGTGACAGAACTAATATAATTTTTTACAGCCTAATATTATTTTTTTCCAAAGTCTGATATTAATTTTCCAAGTCGCAGTGTCTAATATTGTTTTTTCCAACTAATAGATCTAATACTATTTATCCAAGTAACATAATTTTAAAAATATTTATCCAAATCGCAGAGTCTAATATTATCTTTTCAAGTGACAGTGTAATATAACACAACCCACAACAACAACAACACATGCCAAACATGCAAAATATAGATTTTAAAATAAATGATTTAATTTAAGTAGATTTCAAGTGTTTGTATATTTTTATTAAATTATTATCATTTAAATAAAAATTATTTTACATTTTTTACTAACAGTCTTAAATTTGTATCAATAATTTTAAAATTTATTTAAAATTATATTTTTATTTATTTATTTTTGTTAAAAACTTTTCGGAACTAATCATCTTAAAAGTTGCTTCACCATATTGTGAATATTTATAGTAAAATATATCAGGCAAGAATTCTCTGCGGAGCTGAGTTCCACAATCTGCTTGGTATGCCCTTAACCATGGAGCATCTTTCGAAAACTTTTTTACTTGAGTGCTTTTTTCTTTTGACGGCAATAAAATTTTTAGTTTTGGACATAAATAAATTGGAACTACTTTTGTCTTAAAATTCTTTTTCTTCGCAAAACAAGTGTAAAAGCTATAGAAAAAGGTAATAAAAATTATTGTTGGCAATGAAATTTCTGTGTCTAGCGGCAATTTACAAGCTTAGGGGAAAACTCTTTTCTTATTTATGGTAGGTACATCCTGTTATAAATTTCCCAGATAAAAAAAGTCTGTATCACTAATCAATTTCTTTTTGCTTTTAAAATAATAAAAATTCAGGGGAAAAAATCGTTTATGTATTGTTTCACAAAGTTTCAGAAAAAAAACTTTTATTTAAAAATGATGTAAGTCCATGAATTTATATCGATGTAATTCATTTAATACAAGAAGATTTACACAGACCTTGCGATTTTTCAAACATTTTACTCTTTCATTTACTTTCATTACTTTAAAAATAAAGTAATATAGTCTAAAGTAAATACAGAATTTGAAGAGAAATATATTACATTAATGTAATTATTTTTAAAATTTTTTTCAATTTTGTCATTACCAATGAGCAAATGATTTGGCCCGACTCATGGTTCAATAGCAACGTGTGCAACTGGTGGGCCTTAAGACTGAGCTTTTACTGTGCTGGGGACTTTCCTATAGGCACTGTTTCAACAAACGAGAAGACTCGATGGTGGTTAGCATCTTGCCTCATTAGTCATAATACCTGGTGGGAGTTTTCCGGGGTTATACGCAAAAATGGGGTTCTCCCTCCTAAAATTTTTACTTGACGGCATTGGCCCTTCCTTCAGCGAAACGGAGTCAAGTCAGACTTCTACCTACAGGCGCTCCATCACAATAGAAGCTGCCCCCTCCTTTCCCTTCTTCTATGAGTAAACTACACATATGAGGTGCATCTCACAATGCAGGACATTAAGGGTTAGACACAACAACAACAACAATAATTAGATTTCTCAAGTTTGCATATTTCTTTAAAAAATAATTTTGTATTTAAATAATAATAATTTACATTTTTTAATGATGACTTTAATTTTTTTGTTAATTTAAATTTTTTTTATCAATAAAAAATTAAATCTTCCTTAATAAATAATTTTAAAATAAATTTTATAAAAATAAATACAAAATATATGCAAAAATAAATATTATAAAAATAAATTTTAAAACAATTTTCATGAATATTTATTTTTGTGAAAAGATCTGAACTAATCATCTTAAAAGTTGTTTCGCAATATTGTGAATATTTATTGTAAAATATATGAGGCACGCATTCTCTGTGGAGTTGGGTTCTGCAATCTGTTTTGTGTGTTCTTAACCATGGAGCATCTTTCAAAAACTTTTTACTTGAGTGCTTTTTCTTTTGACGGCAATAAAATTTTAAGTTTTGGAGATAAATAAATTGGAACCCCTTTTGTCTTAAAAAATGTTTTCTTCCCGAAACAAGTGTAAAAGTTATAGAAAAAGGTAATAAAATTATTGTTGGCAATGAAGTTTCTGTGACTAGCGGCAGTTTACAAGCTTATGGGGAACTCTTTTTCTTATTTATGGCAGGTGCATCCGTTGTAAATTTCCCAGATAAAAGAAGTCTGTATCGCTAATCCAATTTCTTTTGCTTTTAAAATAATAAAATGCTGGAAAAAATATTTCATGTACGTATCTTTTTTAAAAAGTTCATTCGAAATGATTCATTTTAAAAAATGATGTAAGCCATGAGTCGATATCGATGTAATTCATTTAAGACAAGGGGTTTCCCATACACCTTGTGATTTTCTAATATATCTGTATAATTTATTTATGCGTTATAAAAAAGATAATATAGTATAAACTAGGTGCTGAATTTGATGCGAAATATAATACATTAATGTAATTGTTTTTTTTTTAAATTTGTTCAATTTTTGTCGTTACCAATTGAACAAATGATTTGGCCCGACTCGTGGTTCAGTAGGAACTTGCGCCACTGGTGAGCCTTAGGCTGAAGTTCAATTCGCTGGGGGTTCCTTGTAGGCACTATTTCAACAAACGAGAAGACACGATGATGTTTTTGGTGTTTAGAATCTTGCCTCGTTGGTCAGACTACCTGGTGGGAGTTTTCTGGGGTTTTCCCCATATGATACACAAATATAGGGTAGGTCCTTCGAGTATACCTTCTGGTAGAACTGGCCTTCCTTCATCGGCCAGGATTCAAGTCAGACTTCTAC